GCCACACATAGCCAGGATGGTAACACAATATCTGGAAACTGTCGGTGTGCAAAAAATGAACTGGCCGGCTCAAAGTCCAGATTTGAACCCGATTGAACATGTTTGGGACCAACTCAAACGAAGGGTAAGAAACATTTTTGAGAAGACATTTGTTATTTAAAAAATGATTGCATACTAGTGATGTAACAAATGTCATTTTTTAAACATTCGCGAATGCGAATATATGCCACCGACATTCGCGAATGCGAATACGAATATTCAGTTTTTTTTTTTAATTTGGCAATTTTAATTGTCTCCGGCACTGACGGCAGTCTCATTTGCGCGAGGTGTGTAGGCAATTGGAAAAAGTCTGTCATTTTTAACTGCTTTAAATTGTCCAGTATCATTCTATCATATTTGCTAAAGTAAAGATGTGAAACAGTTGTATTTATTGTAAAGAAGTTTATTGTAGGCGGTTAAGTTTTAAAGTTAGTAAAGAAGAGGGGTCGTTTAAAAAGGTATTTATTTATAGTCACGTCCGGGCCAAAAACGTAGAAAGCACGTTTTTCGATCTTATTTTCTCTTGTTATAATCAAATTTGACTTGTTATAGAGAGAAAGTTATAGCAGAGAACTAAGTTCTAGTTATAGTTCCAATAAAAATTTCACGGGACACAAGTCACTCCACTCCACTTCCCCTGCTCTGCTCGTGCACAAATACAAGTGAATTTTTAGTTAAAGTGTGATTAGCGATTTATTACTATGAGTAAATCAAATTATAGTGAAATATGGACTTATTTTTCACCACTTTTCGATACTGAACGAGCTAAATGCAAGCTGTGTAATATTCGCAAAACATTCGCACAAATTTTGCGAATGCGAATATGCAAAAATATGCGAATATTCGCGAATGCGAATATTCGTTACATCACTATTGCATACTGCTTTAGAACATATTCTTAAACATTACACAAATATCTAATAACAATCACTTTGCGGTATGATTCGTAAAAATTAAAAAATGGCAAATTTAGGTGGCCTTTTTCGTGACGCGCAGTGTATAAACAACAAAAATTATAAAAAAAATAAAATAATTTTAAAAGCATAAATAAAAAAAACCAAAGATAAAAAAGATGTATGCTATAAATTTACTTAACTGGTAACCTCTATTCATCAATGCATTATTAATTATGTTATTAAATGTTCAAAATGTTGCCGATTATCAGACACAGTCGATAAAGGACTGCCGAAGGTCTTGTAGCATTTCAGGTCCAACGTATACAAATTTTCATATTATCCAGTGTTGTGGGATCGTCGTTGTATACTACATTGTTGATGTATAAAAAATAGTCCCGTGGAGTTAATCCTGGAGATCTTGGAGGCTATTCCACATATTACACCATTTCCGATCCAACTTTGGCTGATTTACCACACGTCTAACATTTATTGTAATTGTGTACGATGTGGTGGTGCTCCATCATGTTGAAACCACATGTTTAGCATAGTTCCCAAGGGGAACATCCACTAACAAGCCAGTTAAAAAGTGTCTGTTAAAATCTATGATACTCATTGTCAGTAACATTTATGATAAATGCCTCCCCAAACAATCAACAACCAGTAGCCCACATAGAATTTTGCTCTGGAGGGGGGTTTTGGTTGGGCACCGAAATTTTTTAATGGTACCTCCACCATTTTAAGTCCTTAAAATTTGTGAATAACAGTGTCGGAATAGAGTCTTGGGGGAGGGGGGGTTAACTCCCCAAACCCCCCTGGGTGCGCCACTGTCAACAACTACCCTGGTCTGAAACGTAACTCAAAATAGGTGAAGATTTTCATCGGAGTAATAATGATAATTATGTCTCTTAACGGGCATATTACGATGAAATGTCGATTCGTTAGAAAATAAAATATTTTACAAAAAATTTACGTTTCAACTTAGCACTTCTTCCGACCATACAAAAAAATTCAGTCTTTGAAAATCAGTTTCATTTAATTTCTGATTCTTCAGTTGAAAAATTCCTATTTAAAATATAAAAATTTGTTACAAAAAATGCAGTAACAACAATATCACCAGCTTTTGTAATACAACTAGATAGTATTTATTTTAATAAATATTTTAGCAGATCCATTTAACGTTTCTTTGTTTCAATTCAAAACATACTTTATACGCTCTCAAAATATAGGTGGGTACAGTGGAACCTCGATTATCCGTCTCTCTATTAACCGTCAGGGTCCATACATAAGTTACATTGATAATATAAGTAAAAATTTAGTCATCAATTCCTTTTGTTTGAACATTGCGATAAGCCAAACGAAATTCGTTGAAATGTAGACGTGTAGTTATGCCACCACAGCATTTTTTGTGTAAATAATTATTGTTGTTATTCAGGGCTCTGGATTAAATTTCAATTTAAATAGGTAATGATAAATAATAATACCGTGCTTTTATAGTTTCATTTTTAGAATTGCAAGCCGAAAATCAAAACGCAGAGCACAATAATTATTACAGTCAATATCTGTTTGTCCAACATAATTCAGTTTGATATAAATTCGAACATTGATTGTATCACTTAGTCGCATTAAGCAAAAAGTATGATGTTCCGAGAACAACAATCAATGATTTAAAGAAAAATGCTGATGGAATTGAAAAGTATGTTTCGCAAATGGAATCTTTGGATGGCTGGATAAAACATAGTTAGAAAATGAAAAAAAGCTACAAATGAATCACTCGAGACGGCATGACATGACACTCTGTATTTGTGGTTCGTTCAAAAAAGAAGCGAAGGTGTTCCTTTGTCTGGACCAATTGTTCCCGAAAAAGCGTTGTTTTTCAACATGAAATTGAATGGCGATCTTTCATTAAAACGAAACATCAAGGAATATCGAAAAACAAGGTTTATCAAAAGTTCAAAAATCGCCAAGGAATAAAAGAACTGAAATCGAAGGTGAAAAATTGAGCGCTGCAAGTATTTAAGTCGTTGAGGAATATAAAAGAAATTTCAAGATATGTTCAATGAATATGGTTTGACATGCGATCAAGTTTCAATGCGGATGAAACTGGTTTAAACTATAAAGCATTGTCAACTAAAACACTCGCTGCACTGGCTGAGAAATATAAATCAGGATTTAAAACGCAAAAGCAACCAATCACAGCAATGATATGTTCAAATACAAGTGGTGATCATCGCTTTCCTATATTATTGATTGGTACAGCAAAAAAAAGCACTTTGTTTCAAGGACATAAATATGAACGTTGTGCGTTTATTTATTTTTGTAAAATTTGTTTATCTATTTTTCTAATTGTTTTTTAAGTTTTTATACCGGACGTTCGACAATATTTGCAAGCAAAAAATTTGCCACCAAAGGCGATTCTCATTTTAAACAATGCATCTGCCCATCTTGGTATGCTGCGAAGTGACAATGAAAATATCACGTGCTCCTTTCTGCCTGCGAATACAACATCATTGATATAGCCAATGGATCAATCGATCATTAAAACATGCAAAGGAAGATATATACAGAAAAAATTATTTAAAACCTAGTTATGAAAGAGGAATATTCTTTACCGGGATACTGGAAAGTATACAATTTAAAACAAGCAGTCGACAATGCCGTGTACGCTTTTGCTGATATTTCGCAAGTAACGCTGAAAAGAGCGTGGAATAAATTATGGCCCGAATCAACTCAAGATGAAAATGCCCCCGTGAGAGCCGAGCGTGATGCAGTAACAAATGAAGTTATAGCTAAATCAACTGTTTTGTTTTCGTTGCCTAAAGATGACATAAACGAATGGTTAATTTTTGATGAAGACGCAAACTGCTATCGATTGCTGACAGATGATAAAATTGTTAAATTGCAACAGAGGCGGACGAAACTGATTCAGAAGCTGATAGAGACTTTGATGGTGGCGATGTTGATCTTTGCAACTCGCAAAGATTTGCGTAAAGGAGCAAGAGAACTTGCATCACACATACAACAATTCATCAAGTGGTATTCTTGGCAAGAAGAAGCAAATAAGGTAGATTTGATGATTTTACGTCGATTAAGAAATTTAGCCGTTGCAAAATGTGAAGTAACAATAAAACAAAGATTTCGGAATTATTTTAAATCAAATTGATTCGACTGTACGAACGTAAATCTCTCTTATATTGTCAAATAAAACACAAATAAAATTTGAAAGTTTACTATAATTTTTTTTAATGTTCCGTTAACCGTCTTTTCGATTATCCGTCATACCCTTGGTCCGGTACCCTGACGGATAATTGAGGTTCCACTGTAGTTACATTAAGAAGGTTTTTAACTGATCTTACTTGAAAATACTTTAACTGACGGTACATTTAGTAAAGGAAAGCGATCATAAATTAATTTATTTGCTAAAAATTACTAGGGTAGGTTTTAAAATTAGTTGTTTATTTAATTTAATAATTAATTTACCTTTATTAGTATGATAAGTACTATTTTTAACGTGATAAGTTATTCATTCTAACTAATTTTTACTAGTGTACTAGAGAGTTTGATTTTAATCTTTGATATTTTCATGTATGTTTCTAAAATTATACTATTTTGTTACAAAATTTTTTTTAATAAAAAATCTGCAAATCATAAAATCTATGGTTCTTTTTTAAATGTCTACAAAACGAAGCATGCTAGATATGTATAACCTGATACCAAAAGAAAGGTTGTAATATTTTCCACAAAATACAATACTACTATACAGTGTGATCCATTAAAAACTGAGAATATATTGTATTCGAAAATAGTGATCACACTGTAGATTGTATGGTTAGATGTCAAAGATATTACATAATTTAAAAATGGCTATAGTCTCTACCTTGGAAACCTAATCCACAAAACCTTTAAATATTGCATTATAAACATTTTTTTATATACATATTACATAATCATAGTATAGCCGTAAAAAAAGAAAACCAGAAGTTTGGCGCGCCCTGTATATAAAATGTGTTTAAAAACTTGTGTCATTTTTGACATTTTATTTAAGTTAAACAATAATTAACTACTAACCTTAGTTCGCGAAGGAGTTCGTTAGCATTCTGAGTTCTTAAAACTCTATGCTGTGGATCTAGACACAGCATCAACCCATCCTCTTGTTGATCGACGGAAATGGCAAAACCTGGATAGATTTCCAATTTATGTTGCGGAACCAAATGTTTGCTATTTGTATCAAAGTAGTTTTTACCAATAGCTGTATATTTTAATTTGTTCATAATGCGTTTAAATAACACATTATATAAATGAAGACAGTCATGATCCGCCATATTTTTCTTTTTTTTTAAAATTAATTTTACCGAAATGGTTTTGTCCTCATCGTTTACTGTGAAAGTTTCAGATGTGCTCGTTATTTGTTGGGGAAGATAGAGGGTGTTACCTATGAAATTTGAAAAAAAAAAGTTATTTTGAAATAAAAATATTTGTAAACAATGATATGACAGTTCAACTCTGTTACATCAATATAATGGAAACATATTACATGTTGATATATCATTAGGATATGCTTAGTCACTCCAGGTAACTTAAATTTCTGTCACATTATAATTTTGAAAGCATAGCTTTCTTATCGCGGGCTACGGACAGAGCCGTGGATCGCACAGAGGTGTGAAAAATAAAAACACAAGAAACGTGATGAAAAGCAATGAAACGACAGATCGTGCGACCACATACTACTTGGAGTAGTAAACGCAGTCCCATGCGCATTTCTTAGTAAAATAAAATAATTAAACCAAACTGAAACAAAATAAAATTACAATAAAATAAAGTTAATCAAATCGAATGGAATCGAATCAAATCAAATGTAATCAAATGGAGTTGAATGGAATAGATGGAATCGAATGGAGTCGAATCGAATCAAATCGATTCCAGAATGGAATCGGATCGAATCTAATCTATTTGAATCAAATTGAATTAAATCAAAGGAAATCAAATGGAACTGAATCGAATGGAATCAAATTAAATCGAATCGAATCTAATGCAATCGAATCGAATGTAACCGACAGGAGTTGAATAGAAATGATGGAATCGAATGAAATCGAATGGAATCGATCTGAATAGAATTAAATAGAATGGAATCAGATTGAATCAAATGGAATCAAATTAATCGAATGAAATAGAATTAAATCGAACTGAAACAAACAGAATCAAATTAATCGAAGGGACTAGAACTGAAACGAATAGAATGGAATGGAATCTTAAAAATATTAAAATTCTACTCATAATTACAAAACCTCCGAGTATCATATGCTTTGACTCTCGTAGGTGTTTCAATAATCATCAAATGACAACCAAACTTTTGCTGTGTTTGAAAGATAAATAGCACAGTTTGACAATCAGCGTGCAATATTGACAACAAAAACAGGTACGTAGATTTCACTTATTCATAAATATAACGCTATCAGCGGCTACGTTGTATATTGTTCAATAGCAGCAAGAAGTTTAAATCTAAAATCGCAGTAAACTCAGAGAAACAACAAGTAGTCATGTTCCAAAATATTTTTGAAAAACAATGATCACATGTAAACACAAACCTGTAATTTAAACCACAAACGAATTCTGCATCCCTCCTTTGGTTTGCACGCAGCTCACGTCTACTGCTATCCTGGGCGTACTGTAATATATTTATCATATACCTACTTCTTCTTATGGTGCCCTATCCAATTAGTGTATGTTGGCGACAATTCTGGCATAGTCCTCTTGATCTTGTGTGGCTCCAATCCCTTATGTTTTTAAGCCATGAGTATTTCTTTCTTCCGATGCCCCGTTTTCCTTTTATCTTCCCTTCCATAATAAGCTTTAAGAACTGATACTTGGAATTTCGAAATATATGAACCAGATAAGAAGTTTTTCTTCTTTTTATTGTTGGCAGCAATTCTCGTTCTCTGCCCATTCGATTTAATACGTCGACATTTTTGTTGTGTGATCTGTCCAAGGAATTTTAAGTAGTCTTCTAAATACTAAATACAAAGCGATATCGAAGCGTTAAGTTTAGGCTGCTGTTGCTTAGCAAGGTTCTTATATTAGTAAATGCTGTTCTGTCTTGCTCAATCCTGCTACGTATCTTTGTCTGGATCTAGATATTCAGTTATCCAACTATCGAGATATCTGAACTTGAGGACCTTTTGGATGTTCTTATTGTTTACTCTTATATTTAATTGCATATTTCGTGTTCTACTAACCACCGTTATCTTCGTCTTGTCTATATTAACCTTTAAGCCCAGTCCTTCTCCTACAGTGTTTATTTTATCTATTAGACGTTGTAAGTATTATTAGCATAGCGAATATTACTAATAGTCTGTCAGTTGATTTTGATTCCATCTTCAGTATCACTTAAGGGTCTATCGAAAATTGTTTCAGAGTAAAGATTAAAAAGGAGGGGTGACAGAACACAAACCTGTCGTACACCTTTTTCGATTGAGAAATATGATGTAGATTCCAGTCCTACTCTCACAGATGCCACTTGATTCATATAAAGGTTTTTTTATGATTTTAAGGTCATTCTCATCTATCGAACGTTCCTGGAGCAATCTTACTCATTCATATACCTACTAATAGACAAATAATACATATTTTGTCATCAGGACATGTCATTTTCGACATCAGGTATGCAACCTGTTCTTTGTTTCTGAAACTTGAGGATTTTTTCGACCTAAATAGATTTACCTCTTCTTGGCATTATGAGTTAAGTATGATACTTACTTTAATATTATAATTTTATATTTTCGTTTCTAAATAATTTGAATTGTTATCCGTGTCAACAATGTATTTTTTATTCGCCTTCGGCTTCGGCGTAAGTCACTAGGAGACCGAACTTCGGCTTCGGCAGAAAAATCTAAAGCGGACGTAGTGTCATATATTACTAATAAGATATAAGGCAGCCAACTGGAAGATAGGAGAGTTGGCCAAATAAAAATTTTTGGGTAATACTAGCAAATAAATAAATACTAAAAACATGGCTTTAAAGGTGTTTTTATCAACTGGAGAGTTAGCCAAAATGAACGGTCGTATGAATGTAAGAAAATAGAGGGCCGTAGATGTGTAGGAAGAAAACAAGTTTCTTGGTTAAAAAACATTCGTGAATGGACTCAGATATCTAATGCAGGACAATTATTCCATATTGCAGAAGATCAAGAAGCCTTCGCAATGGTGATCGCCAACGTCGGATAAATCTGATATGGCACGCGAAAAAGAAGATGAATGGACGAAAAAGGAAATATTCAACGACTGGAGACTTTTAGGTCAGAGGATAGTGTTAATATCTTACTTTTATTTCTCACTTAGCTCGTTATTAATGTTATAATAATATACCTTACCCCCATCAAACACTTTAGCCATGCCAAGTTGTTTTATAACTCCATTAGCAGCTCTGAACCTCTTATTCTTCGCATCTAATTCGGGATTGAATTTGATTTCGTATTCATAAACTCCCCTATCTTTTTCCAAGTCTAATTTAATGTAATTGACAGATAGCCGCAGGGGTTTACCAGCCTCACCTAAAATAATATTAGAAAAATGCATTATTTGGTGAAAAATTTAAAGGCAACAATTTTCAACAATTTGCGATTACATTTAAATATTAAATACGAATAATACCTACTACCTATAAAGAAGTAATGCTGAATTTAATATATTGTAGAAATAACAATGTAAAGGGGCATACAAAAACAAAACCCCAATAATGTTTTTAAAATGCCGTTATGGACATATAACAATTTAAGTCGGTCAGAAAATGACCTTTAAAAATTCATTCAATAATTTAAAAAACTTTACACATAATTAACTCCTAATTCGGAATCATCATGATTCATCATCATATGGATTAAATAGCTAATTATATTTCTTCATAAGTTTCTCTGTCGGATCATACCAATATCAACCCACTTTATCGACATGTCCTGCTTAAACGTCTCCCCCTAGGTCTTCTTTGGTCTTCCCTTCCTACTCCTTCGACGAACTTGCAAATCAGCATTTCTTCATAGGTGATTAGCCTCTCGACAACATGCCCGAACCATCTTAATTTGGATTATGGCAGCATGGAAAGACGTTTCAACCAAAACAATTGACAAGTGTTTCATTAGGTGCGGTTTATAAAAAAACTATAGTAATGGGGAAGAAATTGTGTAAAAATCTGAGGCTGCACCACAGATTTGTGTAAAAATCTGAGACCTGGAAGATGATTTCCCATTGTCGACCTTTTGCGAAAGTTATGGAGTTGCAAATATTTTTAAATACCTAGAGATTGATGCAACCCTATTGACGGAAAATCCTTATGTAAACTTAGTTGTTTTAATGATTTTAAAGAAAACGAACAGGTATCTAATGTTTCCGACAATGATAGTGACGATGAACTAGAATTTACTACAACTGTTGTAACCTCGGAAACCTTTTTTGTATGGTGTTACAAAGGTCACCAATGGAGACACTGCGGACGGCAGCCAGATAGTTGGTGGAGAGCAAGTCGTGGGTTCGAAACTAGCTTTTGGAACCAGGAATGAGCCCAACGGACGAAATAAGTAAAGATAGAACAGGATAAGATGTATAAGAAAAGAGAAAGAAATAAACAGAAAGATAGGTGGGTAAAATTACCAAAGATAAGATAAGATAGAAACAGGGGTTTAAGGAGAAAATTAAGAAATTTTAGAAAAGAAAATAGATAAAGAAAGATATTTAGGTTCAGAGATCAAACCCAAGAAAAGATATAAACAGTTAATTATCAAATAAATTTGGTCAACACACTATATAAACAAATAATAAATATATTAGGTGGACTCCGTCTTAACTAAGGATTAACCAAACCGGCGTCTTTAAATAAGTAGGTAGATTTTTCCGTAATATTTCGGTAGTTGGTAGATTGCAATAAGTTTCTATTTTAATCGTAAACACGATCATTGGCGTCCCGTCAAGGCACGTAGCAATAGAAAGAGCAGTAAAAGAAATAAAAAGGAATGAAGCTCCTGGAAGCGATGGAATCCTTGTTAAAACTTTCGAGCAACCCCGTATACTACACTTAAGTACAACCCGACGTTCATTTTACACCCCTCGAGAGGGGATGCCGGTAGTGACGAGGAGAAGAGAGACACAGTCCACACCCGAGTCTCAACCGGCATCCCCTCTCGAGGGGTGTAAAATGAACGTCGGGTTGTACTTAAGTGTAGTATACGGGGTTACTCGAGAAAGTTTTAACAATCCTAGCAGAAATGCTGAAGGAAGGCGGAGAAGAAGTCATCAAATCTCTAAAAATACTATTTAATAAATGCCTATTCGAAGGCAACATACCCGAACAATAGAATACTGCTAAAACAATACTAATACCCAAAAAGGGAGACACCACAGACCTGAAAAATTATCGACCAATTTCACTTCTTTCACAACTTTACAAAACCTTTACAAAGAGTATTATAAACATGTTAACAATTAAATTTGACGGATATCAATCAGTAGAACAAGCCGGATTTAGAAAAGGGTACAGCACCTGTGACCATCTATATACTTTGAAAATTCTAATAGAAAAGACTAACAAATACAATCTCCCATTATGTCTGGCTTTTATAGATTATGAAAAAGCTTTTGATAGCGTAGAACTGTGGGCAATAGAAGAACATTAGTCAACAACCGGATCGACTCCAGGTACGGAATATCAATACATAATATTTACGAACAAGCTGAAACGATTACGTTGGGTAATGGAATCGAAACAAGACCAGTAAAAATCAACTGAGGCATAAGATAAGGAGACACAATATCTCCAAAATTATTTACAGCTGCCCTAGAAGATATCTTGAAGTCAATAGACTGGAAAAATAAGGGAATCCCTATTAATGGAAGATATTTGAACCATCTTAGATACGCAGATGATGTAGTACTTATAGCCGACATGTGGAATGCACTGAATACTGAGAACCAAAGTGTTTAATTCCTGTATCTTACCTGTACTTACATATGGAGCTCAAACCTGGACATTCACTAAAATAAACATGGAGAAGATCAGAAAAACTCAAAAGAGCTATGGAAACGGAACGACAGATGCTGGATATCTCACTCAAGGTACATAGAAACAATGAAGACATTTGTAATAGAACAAAAGTAAAATATGCTGTCGAACATGCAGCTAAACTGAAATATAAATAGGCTTAAGGATAGCCGATGGAATAAAGAAATCGAGAATTGACGGCCATATGAAGCCAAAAGACTACGAGGAAGACCGCAAATGCGCTGGAGCGACGATATTAAAAAAACTGCAGGACCAATGTGGAAACGTCTTACAAACAATAGATATGAATGGCGAGAATTAGGATATGCCTATATTCGGCAATCCGAATAGATAGAAGGGCTAAAAAAAATACAAGGATTGATAGAGATAGAGATGAGACGATTAATTACTTCTGTATACCCCTGTATACAAAAGTATACCCCCAGCATTCTAAACACTATAATCGAAGAAGAGCTCAAAAAATTGGAGTATATTACAGTTTCCAAAATAATTTTCTTGAAAGTTGGCATGCCTGAATCTGAATATAGTCATATTTTAAGATTTAGACGTCAAGTATTTGTTGCCCCAAAAATTAATATTCCTATTCCAAATTCAATTTTATCTCACGACAATACCTCTTAAAGAATCTATCTACCCTTAGATGGTCTAAATTGTTCTCAATGTAATACCACAGGACATAAAGATGAGGCATAAATCTACGAACGTTAATATATTTGAAAGAGAAAATAATCAAATAACTCTAAAATTCGTTACAACAAAAACACCGACTGCTAATCAATCCAGTACTTCTCCTACTTTAGTTCACCATCCAATATCTCCTTCACAAAGCCTACCAGAATCACATAATAATAATACCAACACAAAAGTATAAATAGCCATAAAAAGACAAATATCAACATCTGAAATAACAGAGTAAAAAAACAAAAAATTAAAAAGAAAAGACTGCAAACATCACTAGAAACTGATACAGAAAGTGCCAAACGGAACTTTTCAGATATAGTTACACCCCCACTGTGGAAGTATTGGATCAACCTTTTGTCCCTCCCAAGAAGGAAGAAACCTGAAACCTGTTGAGGTAGAAAAATTATTGTAACCAGCAAAAACTATTTAAAGAAATAACACTAGAATTAAACTAGGTATCCCTTTATTCATTAAATAGTTGAATAGAACCCGTAGTGATTACCTTAACAGGCGACAACAGCACTGATAGTGAGAGTAATGATAATCTCGCTTAAATACACATATTAAGCTGTGAAAATTATTAAATGTAAGTACTAATATAAGCACTAATATAAGCAAAAAATATTATATATTATTAGATCCGATGAATCTTCTTTGCAAGCGAATAATCTACAATTCGCGAATAGAGTCTACAATAACATGATCTATTTTTTACTGTAATGCCTCCACTACACATCGGCAGACGTATCATCACAACCTGACGACACATCTGTAAATCGTTCATCCTGTGGTAATTCCCGGGAGACGCAATATCTATGCGAGCATTAAAAAAATGTATGTTGATGTTGAGACCATATCTGCCGCAGATATATGCCTATTTAGTTAGAACGTTCAACCACGACTTGAGTGTACATCGGAATAGAATCATTAAAAAAATTGGAAAAGAAGTCAGATGTGTGACTTGCAGACGCATCCGCGGACGTGATATATAAACAACAGATGATTAAATTACCCCATCTACACATCTCCAGATGCATACGTTGATGTCGTCCGCGGACGCGTCTGCCGATGTGTAGAGGAGCCATGGTGAGTTCCAGGTGCCTTTGTGTATATCTTTTCAAACTAAGTTAAAATTATTCAATCGATTAAAAAAAAACTAAAAAAATAAGACTTTTTTGAAATCACAGCATCAAAAATATTTAAAATTTGTTATTTCCCAAGCACTAATTTTTTTCATTTAGTTGGGTTGTCCTGTTTCATACCATGCAAGTTAAGCGTTTACAGCGTGAACTGTATTCCAATTTCTTCATTTGGCGGAATTTTCTGTTTTTTTATTGACACTTGTAAAATGAAAGTATTTTATTCGTTGCGTAATTGCAGCTATGTGTTGAATAACCAATTTATGCCCGATAACGACAGTTCCTTCATGGCGAGTTGAAATGTGTAACTGGATATCTTTGTTTGTTTTATTCTTTATTCATTAGTATATAAACATTTGTGAGAGTAACTAGTGAATCGATCAGCAAATTTAACGTTTGTTCATTTTTGAAAGCTGAACATGTACACAAAACATTAATTTGAAATTTTTATTTATAGATTATAACGAATATTTTTTTTATATCGTCAATACGAATTATACTATTCTTTAGCTCCTTTTACCCTATAAAGGCCGATATGTAATTAAGATATGATCAGTGGGCCGCAAACAATTCCGATTGCTTGAAAATTAAAAATATTTAATTTCCTGTATTTTATGTTTAGTAATAATATTGGATTTTACTGTATCAAAGGCAAATAAAATGAATATATCTATATGCAGAA